TATTAATACAGTTTCTGCCTCTATAGATTTACCTAGCCTGGATTTCATATAAAGAAAATGTATAACAAAGAGGAAAAAAACCCAAAAACCACCAACCAAATGACAATAAAACACAGAAAAACTTCCGCTGAAGAGGTAACAGAAATTAAAAACTAAAACAAATTTTAAATGGATCAAAAGGGAGAACAAATAAGAACGTGCTAAATTTTACCCTAACTACATCTGCACTGGTCACTTTTCAGTGCATTCTGTCGGAGGGCAGAGTTATTCACCTCCCTGATCAGCGGTCAGAGGGGATTCACTGGCAGCCCAATCCAAGTCGGTATCCTGCAAATGGGTTTTGGGCTTTCACTGTCATCCACAGACTTCCACAAACTGGGTGCCAAGAATTTAAGCTCCAATACCTTTCACTCCTCTGGTCTTGGATTTTATTATTTGCCATCTGTGGATCACACAGGTTGGTGTGCTTCTTCACTGTGAGCTGTTACCTCACCTAGAAGTGTGCTTGTAACAACACAGACCTTTCAGAGCCCAGATGCGAGTCTCTCTGATAACAAGGCACAGACTATTTGCTAAATAGCAAAGGCAATGAATTTCTCTCTTTACTATGTTAGAAAAGAATGTATTTACTTGCTCTCTTGCCTTATAAAAAAGATAGAAGTCAGAATTTGGTTTAACATCTAGCTTGGACAAAATCTGTCTAGAAATTATCGAACTATATTTATACTCATATAATGGGGCTCCAAAGCATTCATGAGAAAATTACATTATCTTTTAATTCAATTTCTCAACAAACTTTTTGAAGACTTATCATAAGTGGAAGAGAGAGAATCTAAACCTAAATAAATCTTCTGACTAAACTGAAATAAAATCAAGAAAATAAGTTATAAACACCACACTGTCAAGTTAGGAAAATTAGAACAAATAATATATTGGATTCCTATTTCAATTTGACTTGAGAAATATAATTTGTTTTGTTTCATCATTTTTGAGAAATACCATTTGTATTACATTCGTTTGCTTTTTTCTCCAATTTTTATGATTAAATTAAAACATTTTTCTTATCACTTTTATTCTCCTGTGTGAGAAGCCAATTTTCCATAGGTATTTAAATTAGGTTTCGAGTAGAATCCACTCAATGGCAGTAGGTTTGTTTGTTTATCATATAAAGGTCCTGCGCTCCAAAAAACCAGTTGGCCCTTGTGTCTTGTTTGACCACACAGTCCAACTGGAGGAAATGCTGACCCTCTGTGTCAGGGGCCTGGGGGCTGTTGGCTGCACTCACCTTTCCCAGGGCAGTCAGCAAATGGAAGTCAATGGTCTCTCTGTATCGCAGGATTTGAAGGATCCCATCCAAGTATACCTGGTCTTTACTGAAACACCCTGGAGGAACCAGATTAGTGTTTATTTTTGAACATTTAAATACAATATTAAGTAATTAGGCATTAAATCATTCCTTTCACTATAGAGACCAACCCTGTATAAAAATTCTAGTTTGCCAGGAGTTTATTTTTATGTATCTTAGTAACACCAAGTGTATGGTCCTGGGGGAGCCATGATAATATGCACACTAGTTTCCTCTACCCCTAAATCCCAGCACCTCAAGAACTAAAATAACATTTCCCCCCTACTTATAAAAAATGACTGGTAATTTAAAATATGTGATCTTTAAAAATAATTATTCCACTAGCCACCACCACCACCCAACACCCAGTCATGC